TTCATATAAATAAAAAAGCTATAAATTCATATATTTGAATACAATATAAAATTTATATATAAACTAAGTTATTAGAAAAAAATAATAATAATATCCTATTCTTCAATACATATATATATATATATATATATATATATATATATATATATATATATATATATATATTTTTATATATATATATATATATTTATCTAATTAATATGAATAAATAATGTATAATTAAAATAGTACATAATATCAGCATACAACATAAAATTATATAAAAGCCAACTTAAATTGATATATAATAAATATATATATTTATAATATGATATATTTATTATTTTTATTTTTAATATTTTATATAATATATGCTTTTTAATCTTTAATTATTTATTGAAATAATTTATTAATTAGATTAATAATAAAAAGCTATATTTCTTTTTCTTAATATATGCGAAAATAATAAAATATATATTTATTCTTATAAATTAAACAAAAAAATTTTATATAAAATATTGTATAATCAAGATATTATAGTATTCTCGTATATATATATATTTCAATACCACTTTACATACTTCTGTTTTGCTCTTAATTTGCAGTATGCATACTTATATTTGCTTATTATCATAGTGTGCATTCTAGGATCTTAATAAATTTGCAAGTATGCATAATGTATTATAAAAAAAGCAAATAATTTTTTGTTTATATTTAAAAGAGAATATTAATATGTATAGTATAATTATATAAAAAATAATATGAATTCCATTTTATATTATTAAAAAAAATGGAAGAAAATTTAATTACTAAGACTTAAAATTATATTATTATAATTTTAAATTTTAAAAAATCGTATTTTTTATCTTATAAATATATTTATATTATAAAAAAAAACTGATATAAATATAAATAAAATAATTTAAAAATATAATATAAAACTATGTTTTATAAAAATTTTATATTTATTATTATATTTTTAATATTTATTTTTATATAAATATATGTTTCTAGTAATTTATAATATAATTTTTTTTTTCTTTTTCTTTTTTTTCTTTTTTTTTTTTAAAAAAAAAAATGTCTCTTATTTTTTTTCTCTAAAAACAAAAAAAAAATGGAAAATAAAATTTAAACTTTACTTAAAATTATTATTATAATATAAAATTGCATATTCAATAAAATTTTATGATTTTTTATAAGAAATAAAATGAAAATAAAATTATAAAAAATTATTTTAATAAGATTAGATTTTCATTTGAAATGTACAAAGGATAAATATAATTCTTATTAATTTTAACTTTTTAAATTATAAAATTATTAATTAAATAAAAAAGAAGTTCTTTAAAATATAATATATATACGTATAATTTATTTTTATTTAAATAATATATGTTTATAAAAATAAAACTAATATATAAATCAATATAGGCTATTAAAATATTATTTTTACAAAACTTTCATTAAATAAAAAACGCTATTTTATTTTAAATGAAATTAGTTAATTATTTTTTCCTTTATAAAAAATAAATTATTAAATTTATAAAAGAATTAAGTTTTAAATTATTTTATTTAGAACAACAAAAAATAAAAAAAAATATCTATATTATATATATTTTTTTTTTTTTAATATAATAATTTATAATTTATAAAATAAAAAAAATTTATATATATTATATTTTTTATATTAAAACATTATTTATTTCGAAATATTTATTAAATAAAAATATATATATATATGTATATTATAAAATTAAACATTATATATATATTTTTTTTAATTAAACATTATATATAAATAAAATCAAATATATCATAAATTTATATTTATATATTATTTCTTAAATAAAAAAAAATATCAAAAATAAATTTTAATATTCATATATTTTTCTATTATAATATCCATAATCTTCTATGAAATGTTTACATCCCTCATATAAACTTTAAAGTTGATTCCTTTTTATACAATTTTATCAATCTAATCAAAAGCTATTCTAAAATTCTAATCATTGATCTAACTTCCTCCAAAATCCACAACTAAATCTTTCAAATTTTAAAGCTTCTGAAAAATACATTCCAAAAATAATCCTATATCTTCCACTAATAAATGATTTTTATAAAAATTCATTTACAAACTTTCCAAATTCCCTAATAAATTAAACATTTCCTCTATTTCCTCAAATCTTATATCCCCGACCCTATTTTCCGAAAAATTCAAACTAATTTTTTTCAACCTGTTCATTTTCTTAAACACATTTTTTAAATAAAAAAAACTTTCTTTTTCCAACATATTATCCCCTACACTAATAAAAAGCTCCTCTAAATAAATTAATCTAGAAACTCCTTAACAAACACCTTCAAACCCTGTTTTTTGAAAATAACTCTTCCCTAAATTAATATGTAAAACGTTCAAATTTAATAATTTCCTTAAAGAATTTCCCAAAAGTTCACCTCCTCCACAGTTTATTAAATTATTTTCTAAATTTAACTTAAAAATCTATAATATTGGTAAATTCTCGATACTTGAACTAATTAATTAACCCCCGTTTTCAGTTATATTATTCGATTATATATCTATATATAAAAAAAATAATTATTTCTTATATTCTAAGCTTTTAAATATCTAACCAACACCACTTGAACCTATATATAACTTTAAAAATATAGTTTTTTTTTTTTTTTTTTTTCTATAATTTTTTTTATATTAAAACTCAAAAAAAAAAAAAAAAAAGATCAAATAAATCCATTTTTTTTTGTAAAAAAAAAAAAAAAATTGAGTTTTTTTTTAAAAAAAATTATAAAAAAAAAAGCTAAAAAGCATTTTTTTTTTTTTTTAAAAAAAAAAAAAAAAAAAAAAAACCTATTTTATTATTTGATAAAAATAATGTAAAATCTCTAATTTTTTCAAATTTTTATATTGTTTAGGCTATTTTTTCAGCTCCCTATTCACAAATTTAATTTTAACTTAAATTTAATTTCAATATAGATATATTTTAATTAAAGGAAACTAAACCTTCCATTAACGGACGAATTCCTTCATATTTTAACTTACTTTCTGCAAAAGAAACTGATAAATTATTTATATTATTATTTTCGGAGATTATTTGGAGTATTTTTCCATATGCTTCCGGAGAAATATTCGATCTATCAAAAGTTATGTCTAAAGAGGTTAGTTTTGGTAAAAATTTAATCACATAAGCTGTATTAATGACACTTTCCTCCGAAAAAACAACATTAGTGAAATTCAATTTAATATTTTTGGTATTTTCTAATCTAGTCAAGCCTATATTAATGTAATTTAATGAATCAAAATCTAAATTAGAATAAGAAATATCCACTGTCATATTGATTATTACATTTCCTTATTAATACATTTATTTCTAGAAATCCATCGAAGCTTTTTATGGGTGTTTTATTTAATTAGGATATAAAAATTGATATGTTGTAGGATTAATTTATTTTAAAAAATAGTGTATTTGAATATATCTAGTGTATATAATAAAAATATTTATTGATATGCCTATTCCTATTATTCCCCATATTAAAATGTCTTTTATTTTTTTGGATTTTCGGCGTATTTTTAAAGCTTCATTGGGTTTAATTGTTTCCATTTTTTTTTTTTTTTTATTTTTAAAAAAAAAGATATGTTTAATTTTTTTTATTGTTTGTTGTATTTTTTTTTTTTTTAAGTGAAAAAAATTAAATTGTTGAAAAATTTTCTTTGGTATTTATAAATACAAATAAACTAATATTATTTTATATATAAAGATTTTATACAATATTATATAATTATCATTAAAATATATAATAGTAAATTTTTATATATATATTTTATTATATTCTTTATTTATTCTTTATATTATGTCATTTTAATATGAATAATAAAGTAATTTTTCTCGAATTATTATTTTTAAATAATATAATCATTCATTTAATTAATAATATAAAAACATATAAAACAAATATTATTATATAATTATATATTTTTCTATTAAAGAAAAAGAAAAAAGAAAATAAAAAGTTTTCCTTATTTAAAAAAAAATAAAAAAATTAATTAAAATAAAATAAATATTAAATTAATTTTTTTAAAAAAGAAAAATTTTAATTGTATAAATTGTGTTCTTATTAAAAATCAGAATTAGAAATGAATGAATCTATATAAATAGGATTATTAGACTAAGAAAACGTAAATAATGCAATAATAGAAAAATAGAAAAATTAATCAAGCTAAACAGATAAAGATTGGTAATAAATAATAAAAAAGAGCAAAAGAGAAGTTAAAAATAACCCAATAGACTAATATAATTATTTAATAGACTAATATAATAATAATATAAATATGTAAGATAAAAAGAAATTAGATTATTTAAAAGAATCAATAAGTTTTAATATAATCTATAGTTTAATATTTGAATATAAGTTTTTAAGTAATTTATTTTTCTTATTTTTACCAGGATTTAATTTAACTTTTTTAATAATACATTACATTGCAATATTAAATAATAAAAATAACTACAAAATATATTTAAATAACTAAAAATAAGTAAAAAATGTATTCAAAAAAATGATTTTTAATGAGGAAACATGCTAAAATTATAATTAAAATCTAAAATATTTCGAAATATCAATATAAGGTATAATAATATATATATATTTTCATTAAAAAAAAAAAAAGATTTATAATAATTTTCTTTTAATTATGATGATATAGAATTTATAAAAGAAAGACAAGAAAATGGTAAAATTAAATTTATGGTTTATAATTCAATGTTTTATAAATATAATATTGATTATAAAAGAATAAAAACAAAATTTAAAACAAATTTTATTTAATATGTATTATTTACAGGTGTAAACCTTTTTATATTATCTTATATGATTTACAAGTATAATGTAAATGTATGAAATAAATAATAATTAAATAAATAAATAATAAATAAATAAATAAATAAATAAATAAATAAATAAATAAATAAATTAATAAATATAAATTAAATAACATAAAATTATTTCAAAATGGTTACAATTCTCCTCTTTTCCATTCCCCAATTATTTTTCTTCCATTACTTTCATTTTAGGTTCCCCTTCCATGTCTCAATCCATTTTTAAAATTTCCTTCATATTTATTTTTATTACTTTAAGTATATTCTCCTTTTAAAATAAAATATTTTTTTTTAATTTTACATAACAATTTATATTAAATAACCTTATCCATCAAAAAGATCATTTATAAAATCTCCGAAATATCTATCTCCTTTATTGAATTCCAGTAATCCTACACCGTGTTTCTTTCCATTTTTCCAATCTCCTTCATATTTATGTCCTCCTAAAAACCTTTTATTTAAATAAATAAATGTATTTAATATATTAATTATATATATTAAAATAACATTTAAAGAATATTAATATATATAATATATTTTAATTTTATAATTTTTTATATATAATATATATATATTATAAATATACCAATATCTTCCAAATCCATTTATTATATCATCTTCAAAAAATCCTTCATATTTTTCTCCTGTCTAATAATAATAGCAACCCCAACCGTCTTTTACATTATTATTATCATCATATTCTCCTTCATATAAATCTCCATTCGTATATTTTATTCTATATTCTTTTTAATTCCATTTATTTAATCTAAGATATTCTCTATCTGTTTCTATTAATAAATATTAATTTTCGTCTTATGTGGTTTATTCTGCTTATTCTGTATTCTAATAATATAATAAATACAAATATTGTTCATTTTAAAATTACAAATTCTTCTATCTAATCATCATTTTAATCTTCTTGATTGTATTCTTCTTCTTTTTCTTATATTTCTTATTAATATATTTCATATTCTTGTTCATAAATTTCTTCTTCTTATTATTCGCCTTTTTATTTATACATTTATTATTCTTTTTAAGTATATTCTAATTATTTTTAATTATTTTAAATGTTTTATTTTTATAACTCCTCTTCTAAATCATATTCATCTTAATATGTTTCTGATTTTTCATCTTATTAAGAATTTTCTTTTTAAATATTTATATTTTACCATTACTCATACATTAATTGAATATTTTATAAAATAGTATCACTTCTTAATATATTATTATTTTTCTTTTCACAAATATTCTCCTTATTTGGACAATTAAATATTTAATTTTATTTATATTATTAAAAATCTTAATTTTAAATATCTTCAAAAATTGTTTTATCTGTTTCTCCAAAACCCTAATTTTATTTTTTTGGGGAATCTTCTTTTTTGAAAACAGGTTTTGATTTTGGAACTTTATATTCGTTTTTTATTTATTAAATATATTTTAACATATCTTATTCTAAAAGATAATCTTCTTAAGTTTCTTCCATTTTTAATTTTTTTTTTTTTTTAAAAAAAATAAAATAAAATAATATTTATGTGTAATTAATAATTATTTAATATTATTATTATAATTTTATAAAGTTTTTATTTTATTATATAATATATAATATTTAAATTTTTTTTTTTTAAAAAAAAAAAAAAATTAATAATTTTTTATATTTTAAGAAATATATATATTTATTTTTATTATTTTTAAAAATAGTTTAAAATTATAATATTTATATTAATATAAAATTATAAAATATCATTTTTTTTAAAGATATTTAAATTTAATTAAAAATATTAAAAATTTAATGCATAATAAAAAAATATCACACGAAAAATTCAATAATTTTTTTCAAATAAATTTTATTTTATTATAAATAAAAATAAATAGTTCTTATCAAAAAAATCATTAATATTTTTTTTTTTTTCTACTTCATTTATTAAAATCATTACTTTATGTATTTAATAGTAGGAAAAATAACATTTTTTTTATTAATATCCTTTGAAATAATTTAAATAGGAACTTCCTTTATACTTTCAGGCAATTATTGTCCAGATTCATGTTCATAAGCTTCAAAAGGATTCATTTTAAGAACTCTAAAAAAAAAAATATTAAAAAAAAAAAAAAAAAATTACTGGCAATTATCACAAGAATCAATAGGATTATTTTACCAAACTAGAACATTATTTATTAATAATTAATAAACAGTAATTTAGTATTATTCTTTAAGTTAAATTAACAAACTTTCTAAAGTAATGTTTTATTCAATCCTTATTTTATACCAATCATTAAATGCTTTTAATAAAAGTATATATATATATATATTTATATATAAATATATATATTTTTATATATATATATATACATTTAGAAAATCATATATATATTTATAATTACGTTAAGGAATGTAGGCTTAATATTCAGGATTTATTTCTTTTATTAAAGCTTCTTACGGTGTGTAAAAATAAAATTAATTTTATGTAAGATCAAACTAAAAATTTCTTAAATCTTTTAAATCTTTTTGCATTGCAAGCATGTATAATTACATTGATGCTACACTTGTGATAATAGATTAAGTAAAAAGAGATCTTCTATTCATTTCAAACGCTATATTTTCTACTTTATATTTCTATATTTTTTACAAACCATATTAAGCACATCTTAAATTAGATGCACTTTCTAAAAATTCAATATATTTTTCTCTAAAAAAATCATCATCACTATCAAATAAAGTCAAATTAAGTTAAAGTTAAGTTTCTGGTTTAGAACAATCTTATATAAGTTAATCTATTATTAAGTCTTAATTATCTTCTATTAACTATATTTTATTTTGTATAATATATAAATATGTAAATAATATATTTATACTATATACTAATATTTATAATATTTTTAATTTTTACTTTTATCCAAAATCTTTGTTATTCAAAATCTCCTGTATAATATTTTTCTAAAATTTTAATTAAATTTTCTTCTCTCATATCTTCCTCAGTTGTTTCCAAATTAAACATATTTACAAACATTTTTGTTGTTGATGTTATAAATTAAACTATTTATCGATTGCTACTTGAATATTAAAATATTTAAGGAATCCTTTTATAACCAACCCAAAATTATTCATCTTCATATTTTTCGTTAGGCATATTTTGTTTTAATAATTATACAATTTTATCGTTAAATTACATCTTTATTATATATTTATTATATACATATTATTATTATTTTTTTACATCAAATATTTCTTTTGACAATTAAACTAAATCATGTAAATTTAATTCTGTATTTATTTAGAGAAGTTTATCAAAGAAAAATAACTTTATTAAATTTTAATTAAAATAAATATCTTTGTTTTGTTTTTTTACTTTCATTTAAAAATTAGTATTTGTTTTGAATAGATTTTTATACTAATTTATATATTATTAAGGATGCTATAAATATTATTTTAGATCTCTAAAATTCTCAACAAATATTTAATCAAATAACTCTTTAGCCCAAATAATGCTATGAATAGGTAAATAAGGAAATTTTTGTATTACGTCTTTATCAAAATCATATTTTCCAGAAGAATAATTAATTTTTTAGATATTTAAAGGTTATGTATTATCAGGAATAGATAAATGAATATTTCCCTTTTTATCATATAATTAATAAGTTTCTTTAATAGTTAATTTATATAAATTACTTTTAATCCATTTAAAGATTAATCAATTAAAATTTTATCAAACCATAAAGATTTATCTTATAAATATTATTTAACAAATATTTTATCTGTACAATTAATTATAATATCGACTTTTTTTTTATTTAATTTTATATTAATATGTTAATTAAAATTATGTGTATGTATTTATTATTTTTTACGATTTTTCCAAAATATATCTCCTAAATAAATATCAGAAGACTTATCTGCGTTTTTATTAATTTTAAGAACATTAGCATTTTTATTTATATTTAATATATTTTTTTCTACAATGTCAACTTTAATTTGATTTAAAGAAGATTCCCTATATAAATATATATTTATTTAAATATAAAAAAAATATACGTTATCCATTAATGATGATTTAAATTAAATTTCTTAAAAATTCCTTAATCAATCACTTTCAAAACACCTTAATCATCAGTACATGCTCCCATATTAATTAAATTTCTAGCCATTTCGCAACCATTAGAACCAGCTCCAAAAAGAGCAATTCTTAAAATAAATATAAATAAAAATATATAAATTAATAAATATATATATATATATATTAGTATTATTTCAATAAATATTTATATTATTGATTTATTTATTTTTTCTTTTTTTATTTTTGTTAATAATTTAAATATTTATTATTTATATATAATTATTTATTATTTTTTTAAATATTTTTAATAAATTATAATTAAATTAATTAAAATTTTATATTTATTTTACTTATAATTTTAAATTCTTTTTTAAGCTTCTATACCTATAAGTGCTATTTATTCAAAAAAAGGGTCATCTTAATATTATTTAATATCTTAAAAGCTAATATTATCTTTTGATTTACATTCAAGAAAATCAAGATGTACAATTTAAAAAATAGGTTCATATTTTCCACAAAAAGATAGTATTTCTTTAGAAATAACAGATGCCCAAAAAGTCGACATTGGATAGAATTCTAATGTGCAATATTTGCATAACTCTTCTACCAATTTTATATTTACTTCTTCTTTATTTTCATAAAGATCTATGAAATTTTAAAGTTCCTCACCTTCGCATAAAAGAGATGGTAATTTTTCGTATTTTTCGAAATAATTTAAAAGAGCTTTCCAAAAATAATGTAACATTTTCGAATATTTATATTCTTTATTAGATATAGGAGTAATATTTTACTTATTATAGTCCAAAATAGTCTTTAAACTTTCAAACTTTAACCTCTTTGGTACTTTAACTAATTAAGCGAAACCTCCTTTTGTATATTTTTAAAAATGAGAAGTATCTTCAATTGTAAATGAATATTTGTCTAATACTTTTATCGGTCTTGGTTCTTAACCATTAATCTTTTTTTTATATTTTTGTTCGTTAATTAATTAAAAAAATATATATATAGAAAACAAATTGTTACCTCATACATTCCTTCGACTTCAGTAATACATACAAAATCACCTTTTTTTTTAAAAAAAAATATATTAAATATATAGTTTTTTTTTATTATACCTGTAAAAAATTTATGAGGTTATTAATTTACTAAAGTAACTTCTCCTGGATTTGATTTAGTGATATTTTATATCATAAAAGGATAAATATCTTCACCGTTTCTATCATAGAGTTTATAATTTAAACCAAAATCAACAAAAGCAGTTGCAAATAAACCAAAATTACATGCAAGAATAAACCCGATATTATTCTATCTGCATAATTAATTGATTTGTATATATTAAGATAAAGGAAGGATTTCTGTTATTATTATAATATTAATATTTTTTATTATTTATTCGATTTAAAAATCTTCTATTATGCTTATTTTACTACTTTTTGAAATACTTTATAATGTTTATTGGACTGACTTTGATAAATTTATGTCTTTATCGTACAATTTAATATGCTCTACAGTAAAAAAGATGGCATTTTTTGCTATTTCTGTACCTAGCTTTTGTTAATTTTTTTATTAATATTATTAATTTTGTATTTTTTTACTTTTTTTAAACCATATATTAATATATGTAATTTCTTCAACTTTTATACTACTTAATTTCCAAACATTGAAATATCTTAATTAAAATTTTCTTTATTTTAAGAATTTTCAATATTATTATCATATTCTTTTTCCATTTTTAATTAAAAATAAATATTAATTATATTTATTTTATTTTTCTCTTTTGTAAAATGTAAAAATAATAAAAAAAAAAATATATAAATATATATATAAGTTAAAAAAATTATTTAAAGTATTATATAAAAATAATATTAAAAAAATAATAAATATATATATATATATATATTATATATATTTTATATATTTTATATATATTTATTATATTTCTTAATATATTATAATTATTTATATATTTTTTTATATATATTAAAAAAATAATTATATTTTAATTTATATATTTTTTTACAACAATTTTATATAATTTATATATAAGTTGTCTTTTAATTATCTTTTTTATCTTAAAAATTTAAAATATATTATTTTTATCAATATAAATTTTTATTTACATAAAAATAAAATAAATAATTATCAATAATCTATAAAAAAATTAACCATATATATCTATAATATTTAATTATAATTCTTTCAAATAATTTATTCCATAAATAAAAAAATATTTATAATAAAAAAAAAATATGCATACCAATTATTCTGACTTTTCACTTGAATAAATTTTATCTAATACTGATTATTCAATCAAGAAAACTAAAATAATCTGTACTATTGGGTAAAATAATAAAAAATATATTATTTTTTAAAAAAATAAAAAATATACTATTTTTTAAAAATATAAAAAACAGACCATCTTGTTTATAGCATGAAACATTATTATAAATGCTTGACAACGGTATGAATATAGCCCGTTTGAATTTTTCTCATGGAGACCATGAAAGTCATGCTTAAGTAATAAAAAAGTTAAGAGAAGCCTTTAAAGAAAGAAAACATTTGCCTTGTGCCATCTTATTAGATACTAAAGGACCTGAAATAAGAACTGGTATTTTAAAAGACAAAAAAGTAACACTTGTAGCCGGATAAGATTTAGAAATAAGTAAATATTTATATTTAATATAATTTTTTATAATATTAAATTAGCTACTGATTATACATTTGCTGGAGATAATACAAAAATATCCTGCTCTTATAAATCTTTACCAAAATCTGTAAAAGTAGGAAATTAAATTCTTATTGCAGACGGTACTTTAGTATGTATTGTTAAAGAATTAAAAGAAGTAAAATAAAAAAAATCATTCAAATACAATATATATATAAATAAGGATGGAGTAATAGTAACAGTAAAAAATGGAATTACTATAGGCGAAAAAAAAACATGAACTTACCAGGTTGTATAGTAGATTTACCAACAGTAACCGAAAAAGATGAAGATGATATAGTAAATTTTGGTTTGAAACACGGAATAGATATGATAGCCTTATCTTTTGCAAGAAAACGTAAAATATATGCATATATATTTCTACAAAAAAAAAAATATATATATATATACAGCCGAAGATGTTGAATATGTACGTGATTTGTTAGGACCTTAAGGACAACATATAAAGATAATATGCAAAATCGAAAACCAAGAAGGTTTACATAACTATGAAGCCATCCTTAAAGTCACTGATGGCATAATGGTTGCTCGAGGAGATCTTGGAATGGAAATTCCTCCTCAAAAAGTCTTTGTAGCCTAAAAATGGATGATCAGAAAGGCCCTAGAAGCTGGATCTCCAATTGTTACAGCTACCTAAATGATGGAAAGTATGATTTAAAACCCTCGCCCAACCCGTGCTGAGGCTTCTGATGTTGCTAACGCAGTTTTAGATGGTACTGATGCTGTTATGTTATCAGGAGAAACTGCTAATGGATCTTTTCCTACTGCTGCAGTAGAAATAATGGCTCATATATGTAAAGAAGCAGAAGGATGTTATAATAATCATGATACTTTCTGGGCTAGAACTAAACATAAAGTAAATATATATTTTATTAATAATATATATATATTATTATCTTTTTAGAAAAGAGTTTGCTCTTCTGAAAGTGTTGCGATTGCAGCAGTTTAAGTTTCCTTTGAAATTGAAGCTAAAGCAATTATTGTTTTTACTACTTAAGGTGATATGGCTAGACTTGTGGCTAAATATAGACCTTCGGCTTAAATTTTAGCTGTTTCTACTGAAAATGGAACTATTAAGGGTTTAACAGTTAGTTTTGGAGTAAAATGCTTAAGAGTGCCTTCATTTTAGGGTATTTAAAAACTTATTGAGTATGCTATTTAGGCTTCAAAGGATTTCGGATATTGTTAGAGTGGAGAATAAGTTGTGGTTATTTAAGGTAGTAATGAAGAAGATCCTGATTAAGGTGATATTATGAAAATTTGTAATGTACCATGAATTTACTTTTTTAGAGAAATAAGGAATTTAAATAACTTTTTTTTACATGTTCCTTTTTTTACTTTTATTAGTTTTGTTTTTTAATTTATTTAAAAAAGAAATTAGAATTTAATTTTTTATATATAATTATTTTATTTTTAAAATAAAATCAAGAAAATAAAATAACCTTTTTTTTTTTAAAAAAAAAAAATATAACAAAATTTAAATTTTATACTTATATATATAAAAAAAAGAAATGATATATAAAAATAAACAAAATACAAGCTAGTCTCCATTTAGTAAAAGCAGAATTTAAAAATCTTAAAATACATCAAATTAATATACCTCAAATGTGACTAGAAAAAACTCTTAAACATCAAATTTCCAAGACCTTTAATTATTTAATGTAAAACATAAATAGAAATAAATAAATATATATATGTATATTTATATTATAAAAAAAAGAATAAATTTTATAATCGAGTATATTAAATAGATTAATAATATTAAATGAGAGAATAAATCGTATATATTTTTATTACTTTTTTTTTTTTAAAAAAAAAAAAAAATACATTATCAGAAAGAAAAAGAAATAAAGCAATAAGCTGAAAGCAAAAAAATAAGCAATAATTCATATAGAATTCTTGCTAAATAATTAGAAGAATAACTAGCATATATAATGGAACAAATAGACATAAAAAAGAAAAAAGCAATTACATTTGAATAATTAGGAAGAATTTTTACATTAACATAAATATTTAATATAATAGAATATGATGAATAATTTAATTGTAAAAAATAATATATATTAATTAAAATAAATATAAAAAAGTATCTAATTAAGAAATATTCTTTAGTAAAGATACTTTAGTAATATAAAGAAGAGATATTGAAGTAAAACCAAAAAAAAAAAAAAAAAAAGAAAAATATAAAATATAGTATATAAAAAGATGGAAATGCATGAATAAACATGGATAATATTGACAAATTACGAAAAATAAGCAGATATTATTTAATTAGATTTCACATTTACATTTTTTAGACTTCTTTTAGATCCTATATAATTAGGATTACAAGAGTTTTATCCTATTTTTGAAAATTATGTATTAAAATAATTCCCTAATTTTTATGAACAAAAGGAAATATATACAGGCGAATATTATGTACCATGGGATTTGAAATAATATGTAAAAAAATTCAAATAAATATCAATAAATAGGGTTGCTAATATGGGAATTTAAAATATAAAGCCTAAATTATAAGAAGAATTAGAAGAGTTTCCATTTAAGCCTTAAATAAACGAAAAATCTAAAGCATTAGATGAAATAAATAAATTAAAACTAAGTTAAAATTTACAAGTAGATAATATATTATTTGGTAATTATTAAAATATTATAATATAATATATATTTATATATAAAGATAAAATAAACACGCCAGAAAGAGTGCTTATTCTAAACTAAAAACATTAATAAGTTCAATAAAAAAAGCTAGAAATGTAAAAATAAAAAGAAGAATAAGTAAAAAAATTTAATTATAAAAAATAAAATAAATAAAGGAATTATAATAATGTACATTCATTCCATAATTAATTAATCGTTCTAAATCTCCTAATCACTCATAATCATAATAATATATAAATAATCAAGATAAAATATACGAAAGATTATTTTCATAAAAAACTATACAAGAATAAAAAATGTAATAACATAAGAAAATTATAGAATAAAAAAAACAATAAGAAGTTGATAATTAATGCACTTTTTAACCAAAACTAACTCCTTATTAAAAAATTTAACATAGTAAAAGTCCTTTAGGATTTGAAAAATCTATTGGAAGAATGAATGTTGGATATTAAAAAAAAGTTGAATTATAAAAGAAATTATAATTGTAATATATATACTTTTTATATATTATATATTTAAATTTATTATAAGTAAACCTTCTGGGGAAAATTATGAAAATAAACAAAGAGAAAAATTCAACCCTCCATAAATGTTACTTAGATAAAATAATCATTAAAAACCTTTTATTATTCTAGATATAGGTGTTAGTGCAGGAAAGTAAACAAAAATAAAACTAATATTTGTATTTAAAATAAACATTTAAAGAAACGGAAGAATAGGTATTTGTGAAGGGGATAATCCTGTTGTTTTAGCTAAAAATTTTGCAAAGACATTTTAATTAGATTAAGAGACGGAAGAAACTGTTTTAGAAATTATATAGGAATAATTAAGAATATATGAAAAAAAGAAACAGAAAGAATAAAATAAAAGTGACTATTTTATTGATTAAAGTTTTTCCTAAATTTCTTATTAATGAAAAAACAAAACAAAAAAACTAAATTATAAATCTATAAATAAATTTAATATTGTTTTAAATAAAAATAATAAATTTATTTAATTATACGAAATATATTTAAACAAAAATTAAATTAATATGAAATCTTTTTTATAAAAACATAAATATAAAATCCTAGCATTAACAGTTTCCCCTGCTATTTTAACATATTCAACCACATATTATTTATTTCCAGATTTACGTAATAACCAATATTAATTATTAAAGGCTTTAAATAGAACATGCCGTGTAGTTTATGCTGGTGCTAGAATGGCTTATATATATTAAAAAGTATATTAAACAAACAAACAAAACTATAATTAATTTATAAAATAAAAAGAACGATGATATTCCAATAGAAAAAAAACATGAAAAAGCCTCATTAATATTAAGAGATACATTCATAAAAAATGCAGGTTTATATTTAAAATTTGCACAATTATTATCTTCTGTAAATATTTATATTTAATTAAAAATATAAAATAAAAAAAAGCTTGATGTCATAGTTCCTTAAGAATATAGAAACAATTTCGAAACGTTGTGTCATGATTGTCCTTAAAGTTCATTCGAAAGTGTAAAAAAAACAATTGAAAGTTAATTAGATAAGCCATTACATGAAATTTTTTCATGTTAAAAAATAAATAAATTAAAGTATAATATACTTTTTTATTAAATATATACAGATTTTAATGAAAAGCCTTTAAAATCAGCTTCTATAGCCTAAGTTCATGAAGCTATTTTAAAAGAAAATGGTTAAAAAGTAGCCGTGAAAGTATAACATGATTGGTTAAGTTAATCTTCTAAAGGAGACATTAAATTAGTTCAAATGTATGTTAATATTGGAGAAAAGTTTTTCCCAGAATTTAAATTTAAATGGTTTTCAGATGAAATAGGTAATTTTTGTTTGTTTGTTTAAAAAAAACAAAAAAATATTTTATTTAAAAAAAAAAAAAAAAAATATAAGAATAAATACTTAAATAAGAATTAAATTTTTATTAAGAAATTGATAATGGGGAAAAAGCACGTGAATTATTAAAAAATAAAAAAAATTTATATATTCCTTAATATTATTTTGATTATTGCAGTGAAAAAGTCATTACAATGGAATATATAGATGGATTTCCAATAATGGATGTAAATCTTTTAAGAAAATAAAATTTTGATTTACAAAAAATAGCATTTATAATAAGTGATGCGTTTTCTTAAATGATATTTAATAATGGCTTTGTTCATAGTGATCCTCATTAGGGTAATTTACTAATTCGAAAAGTTTCTAATAATTTCAAAAGTGAAGATTAAGTAGTTCTTTTGGACCATGGATTGTATAAATAACTTACACCTACATTCCGACTAGCATATAGTAAACTTTGGAAGGCAATTATCGAATAAGATATATCTTAAATGGAAAAATCTTCATAAGAATTAGGCGTTTAAGAAGAATATTCAAAGCTTTTTGTTTCTATGATAACAAGTAGAGTATTTGATGACATAACGGATAAAAAAAAAGATGTAAAAGAAAGGCTAATAAGTCCAAAAACATAATAAGAAAGAGATAAAATCGTTACAAATGCAGCTAAACATCATAAAAATATTATAAAAGTTTTATAAGAAATGAACAGGTATTTTTTTAACATAAAAAAATAATATTAATTAATATAAAAATAAAAAAATATAGATCATTAATACTTTTATTGAAAACAACAGATTTTTTAAGAACTATAGATAATAAATTAGGAAACCCAGTTAATAATTTTGAAATAACAGTATTTAAATAGATTATAAAAAAAAAAATATTTAAAAATATATTTATATATATATAAATATAATTTAATTTTTATATTAATAATTTATTATATATAATTTTATTTAGTTATAGTATTGTTTTAATGAGATTTCAAATTAAGAATATTATCATTATAGTTTTTTTAAAAAATTAAGATTTCTTTTGGATTAAAAAATTGCTTATTTTAAATTATGGTTTTATAAATTATTTTATGCTTGACATTTTTCATTTTTTTTTTAAAAAATTATACACTTTATATATTATTATTTATTAATTTTATTTTTTAATAATTTTTTATATTAATCTATTTATTTTATATTTTTATATATTTACTTTTAAGATTTTATTTATATTTCATAAAAAAAGTATATATATATATTTACTAATTAAATATTTTATATTTTTTTAAAAAAATCCTTATATTTATATATTTATTATATAAACTAAATGTAATTTATTAGTTTAAATATTAATTATTTATAAAAATACTACAATTTCACTTAAAAATATTTAATTAATTTATAATGTTTTTTTTTTTTTAAAAAAAAAAAACCTTTTAAAAATTACATAAATAAAAATTATATAAAAAACTATATAAACCAAAAATAATAATGAAAAACCTTATAACTAATAAAATATAATATATTGAATAAGACACTTTGGCCGAGTGGTTAAGGCGGCGGCCTGCTAAGCCGTTTCCCTCTGGGAGCGTGAGTTCAAATCTCACAGGTGTCGTATTTTTTTTTTAAAAAAAATAAAATAATAATTTAGAAAATCTATAACTAAATAAAAATAAAATTATAAATAATATATATATATATATATATATATATATATATATATATATATATATACATATATATATATTAAATTAAATTTTTTTAATTATTTTTAATTATTTATCAAAAATAAAAAAAAGAAAATTAAAAATGGTTAATTTAAGAAGTCAAAAGTTAAATTAAAATCAACCCGAATAAAAGGTTACATAACCAACCAAAAAGAAAATCCAAAAGCCATAAATAAAAGATTAAAAATAAACCCTTTTATAATTCTAAAAAGACAAAAAACTAATAGTAATAACTAAAGAAAACGAAAAGCGAAATGAAAAAGTAAAAGAAAAATCAATTGAAAAAACAAAAGAAAAATCTAAATAAATTTAAAAATAAACTGAATAACTTACATAATAAGAAAAGCTTTTATAATAGGAAAAAGAAATACCCCCCCTTTAATAAATAAATTAAAAGCTACAATAAAAAAGGGGTCGAAAACCGGGCACGAAAATAAAAAAACAAGAAAATCCAGTCCAACAATTATAAAAAAAAATCAAAAAAAAAGAAGGAAAAAGAGGTTTTAAAAGATGTCAAAATGAAAACTGCGATTAATTAATAAATATTCATATAAAAATATGTCCATATTGTTAACATTAAAATAAAATGTCTATCGAAAACTAAATTAAAAAATAAAAAAATGATAAAAAAATCTCACAATTATAAATATTTTAAAAAATCCTCCAAAAATAAAAACTTGTCAAAAAATATTAATCAACAACTTAAACATTTAAAAAAAATGCCATATTTTTAGTAATAATAAAAAAAAAAAAAAAAATATGCATAAATACACATATAGGATGAATTTAATTTCGATTAATCCAATTTACAATAAATGACTATATAAAATGAACCTTAAAATCCTCTAAAACCCCTCAAAAACATCTAAATTCCCATCCACGAGACTTATTTCCCTAAAACATCCCTAATTATAAACCAAAACAATACCTAAATATCTACATAATTATCTTTTTTCTAAGACTATATCATCCCTCTCAATAAAGAAACCTGGGAACATTTTATTTTAAATCTAATACATCCAATATAAGCTTTATCTTGGATGTATAATGATTTTGGCGACCAATATTTAGCTGTAGGCGTCGAAATAAATAAATAAAATCCAAAAAATGAAAAAGAATATGTTTTTAAGACTCTAGAAGCTTACGATTTGTTACATTTACATCGAGTAGGTTAAAAATACTAAGGAAAAAGTTTCATTTATATATTTTAAATTTAATACAAAAATAATTATTTCGAAAAGCCATTTCTTGCTTTTACTATAAATATAAACGAATCTAAGGTGCCCCAAAGTAAATTAAATGGAAACCCAAATACACTAAAAATCCCGTATTTTAACTCGGCTCTTTATAAACAGACGGTTCTTTATGTTTTTTTGATATTTAATAAGATGAAAACCCCAAAATTATAATAAGAATAAATGAAAAAGTCTTACTTTAATGTTTCGATTGGCTTAATAATACTGAATGTAATTATATTATTTCCGGTGATTAAATAGGGAATGTATATTTAATCGAAATAAATATAGAAAACAGCAATTTTTAAATTTTAAAGTACTATAATAACCTACATATGGCATAAGTTTAAGATATAAAATTTTACTAATAAAATAATTAAAACCATTAAATTTTATTTGCTTCAGCTGGATATGATGGAATTGTAAAAATTTTGGACATTTTAGAAAACGAAATGCCTATTTTATCATATGAATCGTGTTTAAAAAATATAAAAAGTATATTTTGGGATATAGGGGGTAAATTTTTAGTAATAAATAGGGATAAATAGTCATATTCGTAAATAATTCTAAGTTTTTTTGCAAGTTCGAAATAAAAAAATGTTGAATTAACTGATTAATTAGAAACTAGACAATAATAAAAATTAAATATAAAAAAAGTTGTATATGTAATTTAATTTTTTTTTAAATAAAAAATATCCTTAAAAAAAAAAAAAAAAATAGGAATCTTGTTTAAATTTTTATGGAAAATATATTTTTAGTGTAAATGAAAATGGAGTAGTTTATAAAAATAAACTGGAAAACTCGAGAAAATTAGCATTAAAAAAAAGCAAAAAAAGAATGGAAGATTAAGAAGGTGTATTATTTGCAAAAGGAAATTTCGAAGGAAATAATTATATTTTTACTTTAAATGATTAAACTTCTCAAAAATAAAATCATGAAAATTCGAAATAAAATGATGAAGATTATAATGAAGATAGTGTATATTTATTTAAAGAAAATAAAGGAAAATAATAAAAAATCGAATTTAAAGTAATTTTATTTTTTTAAATAAAAATAATATAAATAAGAATTTTAATATTAAAAATAAAATTGTAACTATTGAAATAACTTAAAATGATATTACTAAATACTAAATATTAAATGAAAAGAATTAATATATTGAATCTTTTGTTGCTTTTGGAAATCTAGGAGGTATACTACATATATCTAAAGTTTTTAATTAAAACTGAATAAAAAATATGTTATTAATATATAATAAATATAAGAAATAAAAATTTATTATTATTAAAATAACAAAATATCTATAAATATAAATATATATATATATTAATATATATATATTAATATATATATGCATATATATACTTATTTATTTCAAAATAATTTTAAATTTCCTGTTACACTATCAATTATTTCTGCTTATCCTGGTCCTACAGCGCATACTGTAATATCATTCTTTTTTAAATTAATTTTTTATATTTATTTATTTAAAATTAAATTAAACCTATTCATTTATTGCACAAAAAGTATTTAATCCAATTTAATTAGCTTTATTTTATATTTCTTATACTTATTCTTTCGAATTAATTCTTAAAACTATTTTCGGTGTACCTGATACTTCATAATAATTTAAAATTTTTTTATTTCTGGATTTTCTTATAACTATTCTAATTTTTAATATGCACCCATTGCTTTTTTTGTATATAATTTAAAAATAAAATATAAAAAAATATCTTAATACTTGCATCTGCTGTTAACAATATAATTTAGCCAGGACTCAATTTTAAATCTACCCTTATTAAAAATACCATTTTATAATATTCATTTGATTCCTCATCTTCATAGTCCTCAGAATTATCATTAATTACTTCATTTTATTACTATTATATATTATTCTATACTTAATTTAAAAATTAATTTGTATTTAGTCCCCCAAACAAATTAAAATTTTGAAAATTTTAATTAACTTAAGGCTATTAGTATAAATCATTATCGGCTTAAAATTACAAAATTAATTCAATAGCTTGTTCTTTATCAGATGTTAATTATAAAACTTTATTTATATAATGTTCTTCAAAACCTAATATTAAAAGATCTTATTTAATATTGTTTTAATTTTGCATATTTTTTTATTTTATTTTATGAATAAATATTTATATATATTTATATATATTTATTTTCTAAATTATTTTTTTATTTTTTATTCTATCAAAACTCATAGCTTTATTTAATTATTCTAATATGATTTCTACTTTTATAATATTTGAAAAGTTGGAGAAGGTAAATCATCTTCTTCATTTACATTAGTTTCTTAAACTTATTAGCAGCTATTATTCAAGAATATGTTTTTATTATCATAAATTTTTTGTTTTATTTAATTAATTTCGCTATGTGTTTTATTTAAATTAATTAACTTTTCTTACTTATTTTACTATTTATTTTAATAATTTTTACTTTTAAAATTATATCTTTCCATATTTATTCTTTATAATCTTCATCAGTTTAAAAAAAAGAATTTTCATAATTTTTTATAAATCTTACATTTTAATTATCTTTTATTTTATTATTATAAATATAAATATAAATAATTATAGATATATATATATATATAAAAATATATATATATATATATATATATATATATATAAATATATTTATATTTTTATTTATTTATTTTTAATATAATTTTTACCGAATTTTTGCTTTTATGCTTATTTATATTATTCAAAATTACTATTTATTTCTATATTTAATATATTTTTACTCTGATCTCTTTTTTAATAATCTATTTATAATTCATTTGACTTTTATTTATCTTTAAGATAATCCG